CCGGTGCCTTGGCATGATAGCGACAAGGCAAGAACATGGCGAACTTGGTGAGTCGGTCGACGACCGTGAGAATCCCATCCACTCCGGTCTTGTGCTTGGGGAACGGGCCGGTAATGTCCATGGCAATCGCTTCCCTTCGCCTCAACGGGACTGGTAGTGGTCGTAACTCGCTGTACGGACGATTATTTCGGGATTTGCAGCGTCGACAAATCTCACATGACTCGCAATAGCGTGTGACGTCGCCGAGAAGGCCGGGCCACTAGAATCGCTCGCGGAGTCAGCCAATCGTGCGATTGACTCCAAAATGTCCGGTGGCGGGAGCGTCATGGAACTCGCCAAGAAGCCGTGTACGCAAGTGAGGATCACTCGGTACGCAAAGGAGGTCCTTCCCCAGCGTGTGGACAAGCAAGTACCCCTCTTGGATCCGGTAGTGAGAAGGCACCGGATTAGGAGAGGAGCAATTCGCGAACTTGTCACGAAAGTCGGGGTCGGCTTGGTAGTCGCGGATGAAGCTGTTCCGCAGGTCATCGTCGATCTCGAAGGTTGAGTAGACCGTGGTACAATGATCCGGACGCCGTGAAAGGGCATCCGCAAAACGGTTCGACTTCCCGGGAATGTGATCGAGAAAGAAGTCGAACTGGTCAATGAAAGCCATCCATCGAGCAATGGTGCTGTTGACGGTGTCTTGGGTCTTATAGAAGACCAACGGATTGTTGTCCGTTACCCATCGAAATTGGCTTCGACCAAGGAGGAAGTGCCGCCACCGCTTGAGCGCGTGGACGAAGGCGAGGAGCTCCTTCTTGCGTGCATCGTCAATGGAATGCACGATGGGCACTTTCTTGCTGAAATACTCGGCCGGGTGCCAGTCCACGCCATCATGTTGCTCGAGGACTGCACCAATGCCATAGCCTGACGCATCCGTAGTGACGCGCGTAGGCAAGAGCGGGTCGTATAGCCGCAAGACCTCCGCAGACAATAGCGCGGCTTTGAGAGCGAAGAATGATCCCCGCGCCTCCTCTCCGAAGTCAAACGGCCGATCCTCGCATTGAAGCTTGTTCAAGTGCCCCGCGATCTTCGAGTAGCCTTTGATGAAGCGCTGATAGTAGCCGGCAAGACCGAGGAACGAGCGGACATCCGTGACGTTCCGAGGCTCCGGCCACTCTTGGATGGCCTGAATCTTGTCCGATAGCGGACTGATGCCCTCCGGAGTGACAAAATGGCCCAAGTATTCCAACTCTTGCCGGACAAATTCACACTTGTCGCGGTTGGCTTTGTACTTAGCGCGGTGGAGCGTCTCCAACACTCGTCGAAGATGCCCAAGATGATCCTCCAATGACCGGCTATAGACGAGAATATCGTCTAAGTAGACCAGCACGAACCGGTCCAACATTGCACGGAATTCATTGGTCATTCCCGCCTGAAAGGTCGTCGGGGCGTTGGTGAGGCCAAAAGGCATGACCACCCACTCAAAAGACCCGTACCGCGTCTTGAACGCGGTCTTGTAGCGATCGTTCGGCTGGATCGAGATTTGATGATATCCTGATTTCAAATCCAACTTAGAAAAATATTTTGCGCCGCCCAATCGCTCAAGAAGATCGTCGATGCGAGGAAGAGGCCCCGCATTCTTGACCGTGTGCGCGTTGAGTTTGCGGTAGTCGATACACAGTCGTAGATCCTTGTTCTTCTTCTTGACGAAGAGAACTGGTGCTCCATATGGTGAGCTGCTAGGGCGGATCCATCCCTTGGCCAGCAAATCGTCGAGTTGTGCGCGGAGGACCTCGAGTTCCTCCTCGCTCATCCGATAGATGCAACCTTTCGGCGGCACGGCACCGGCCTCGAGAATGATCTCGTGAGAGATCGGCCGATCCGGCACCACACCGGTAGGTGACTCGAAGATATCGGCGAACTCGTCCAGCAACTGCACCACACGGGGGTCCGAAGGCAAGTCCGTGGGTGAAGAGTCGGCTACCGCGACGGTCCATAGGAAACATAGGCCGATCTCCTCGGGCTGCTCATAAGCGCAAGTTGCCCGGAATGATTTGGCCGTCACCACTTGGCATCGGATCGAAGGGTGCGGTAGAGGAATAGTACACGCCACTTCCGCGCCGAAGGCGTCGCGAACGCTAAGAGTCCGCTGGTGGAAGTTGATCGTGTGATCCGCAATTGCAAGCCAAGGCATTCCCAGAATGATGTCGAAGTCCGTGTCGAGAATATCGAATGTCACCGGTTCGCATGCATGAGGTGCGAAGTAGACCGGTACGGCCTCGATGTAACGGTCGAGAAGTTGTTGCGTCTTTCCATCCGCCAACTTGATCTCCGTCGGGTTTGCCTTCCTCCGAACTTGTGCGCCAAGGCCAGCCTTTTGCATAAAGGACTGGCTCATGAGATTGCAAAACGCGCCGCTATCCAGCAAAGCGCTGCAGGACGCTTGCCCAACCTGAATGCGGACATACATGAGCGGTGCGTTGTTGTCATCGTACCGCTGCGTGCGAAACTCGCGGGCCACCTTGGTAGTAAATGCCAAGATGTCCCCCACCGCGACTTCGTCATCCGTCGGCGAAGTTGGTGGTGCATAGAAGGATAAGTAAGTGTGGAGATGAGCGCTAAGTGTTGCGCATTGCGGTCCCGGCAAGCGGCCTGTGGTCGGGAGAGGAAGCCATGCAAAGTTCTCGGACGTGAGCGGGTCCAATGCCTCTATGTTGAACTCGCGTGCCGAATCCCGTGAAGAACCACTCGAAGACGATATGTCACCGTTGCCGGACGGAGAAGAAACCACACACACTTCTTGTCCTTGAGCTTGAGTACCCAGCGTAGGAACGAGTCGGGCAGCATAGTCCTCAAAAGAAAGTAGAAGAGGACTATCGACTTCCGCGTGCGCCTCGGAATGAAGGTCGGTTACTCGCGAAGAAACCGGTTCTAAAGGCATCGAGAGTGTTGTCGAGTCACTCTCGGCGGTGCTCAGTTTCCCTGTTTGCCCTTGCCTTTCAATGGGCAGACCACCGTCTGATGAAGATCGTTGTTGCACCAAAGGCAATAGTGGAATCTCTCGCGTGCTTTGAATGCTTGCTCGGAGATGCCATATTGGGACCATGGGCCTGCCCGAGCTGCTGCACCGGGCCCGGGGCTAGATGCGGTGTGTGTCTTCGTCTTGCCCCGTCCTCGGCCTCTGCTGGGGCGGCCACCTTCCCGGGCGGCTGCGAGTCTGTCCCCTTCACTGGCAGACACAGCCTCGCTAGTTTGGTCAAACGGCGTTGCCGCTGCGACCACGGCCACTCTTGGCCGATGATGGTCCCTGCTCGGGCCTGACGCAGATGAACGGAGGTTCTTGGCCTCCTTGTTCGTGATGATGATCTGCGCGGCCTTGTCAAACAGTTCCGCCGTCGTCGTCAAGGTGTCCTCGACATGAGTCAGGCCATTGCTTAATGCCGGACATGACCTTGATGAAGTAATGGCGGATGGCTTTGAAGCCCATCTGGATGTCTGGGACTGACGTCAAGCGTTGGTACTCGGCGATCCAGTCCGTACTTGGCAGCGTGCCTTGCTCGAAGACCATGAGCCTGTCCATGGCTTTGATCTCCCGTGGCTCCACCTGGAACCGCTTGTGCCACGCCGCCTTCAAATCATCCCAACTGATCTTGGTGTGCAAGTCGTTAGCGACCACTCCGTACTTGGACAACAGGTTGTCCAACCAAGCCTGGCACGCGCCCCCTGAGCGAGAGTACAAGTATGCGTGGTGCTTGTGTTCCTTGACGTTGTGTACCTGCAGCGTGGGCTCGAACTTGCGAAACCATGGAACAGGATTTGTCTTCATTGAGTCGCAGAAGATCTCCTGCCCGTCGAACTTTGGAGTTGTCTCGCGCGGTTCCGAACTCGAGATGTTGGCGGTAGTGCAGATCCGCTGTTGCAACTGTTGCATCGCGGTCTGCTGTAATTGCACACCATCCTTGAGTGAGCCGACGTCCATCTCCAATGCGTTGAGGCGGTCGAAAGTATTGGAAGAGCTTGCATCGGCCGCCGCGGGTGGTCGCTGCTCCAACTGCTGAAGGCGGTCTTGGACGTGAGCTAGCGAGTTGTCGAGACCGTGGATCTCCTCCTGCTGAGTAATGCAGGTTGCCAGGAGGTCTGTGAGATGCGAGAGGAGCGCTATCTTGTTTGCACTATCCTCCGACTTGCTATTCTCGGCCTCGGTCCGCCATTCCGCTGCCATTGTAAGTAACGCCTGCTCTCAAGTAAATATCTTCTCACGACGTTGGTGTCTTTCTTCATCGGCAGCCCTTGCTGCTGCCTCGTCATGCTGGCGCTGTTGTTCAACTGCCAGCAGACGTGCCTGCTCGGCATCCTCTGCCTTCTTCTTCGCTGTTGCTGCAGCGTCATCTGCCCGTTTCTTTGTCTCGGTACTCCAGGCCAGCATGCGGGCCTGATAGGCCTCGTCCGCTTCTCCGGGCCTCTGGTCCATGACTGTTGTATGTGAACGCAACAGCATAGACCAGGCCGGGACCTGCTGATGTGGTATCCTCCGCTGCTGACATGGCACTGCTGACGTGTCTTGCTGACGTGGCCTGCTGATGTACTGACATAGTCTGCTGACGTGGCCTGCTCTGACGTGGCAACTCACCAATGCCGCCGCAAGGGGTACCGGGAGACAAACACAGACGGTAAGGCGAGAGATGGCAACAACATAGGGGGGGAGGGGTGGGTGGGGTAATCGCCCAACTAATCACTCAGATAAGGAGCCACTAATCAAAAAAGAAAAGTTTGAACTTTGCAAACAAAATTTCGAGAAAAATAAAAATCCCGATTTTTTTTGCAAGTTCAGTAGGTCTCCCAACCTCCCTTGAAGTGCGAAATGATTACTGAAAAAAAAAAAAAAACGACTTCGGACTGCAAATGATTTATGGAACTGACTGACAGAATCCTAGAATCTGCGAAGAAAATCCAAAAAGAAATGACAAGTATTCGGGATTTATTCAGAGAATATTCGCAGTTTGGAAAATAATACCGCAGGAGGGATTTCCCGTACCGTTTTCAGAAAAACGAATTTCGGAAGGGAAGATATTCCGAATTTTCAAGTAACGGGAAATGCAACAGGAAGTCGAAATTTGCGAAAAGAAAAATATTCCGGATTTTTAACAACGAAATTTTGAATTTTCAGAAGAAAACCGAAAATGGGAATTTCAGATGTTGCGATATTGCGATTTTCTACAACAGAATAGCGAGAAAACAAAATCCAAGGAAAGAAAAAAATTTCAATTTTCGGTAGTGAGGTCAAAATCGTGATTTTGGGGTCTAACTAATGTGCTCTAATCAATCAATAAAGACTAACCAGCTATTTAGTCCCCGCACACATGTCAGATCAGGTTGTCCTGATTCACGTGCGATGCTCCGATACCAACTGTTACATGCACAGATACGCCATGTACGTAATAACCGAGGATCTGCAATGTGATGAAAAGGACATAATGGACAATGCAGTGCGAGTAGAATCTCGACAGACAATGTGCATTCTCATACATACAAAAGGTGCTGAATAGGGCAGGGAAGGCTTTGATACAAAACCTGACCTGACCGGGACTGACCTCATTCACGTAGTATCAAATAGCGAAGCAGAATGCTAGGATACTAATAACTAGCCCAATCAATGTTTGAACGCAGACCAAACATACATCGTATCCCTCACCAGGTGTGAAGGAGCCTGGCGCTGTACACAGGAAGAAAGCGCTAGGTCCAGACATACACAGACGAAAGGAGGGAGAGAGATGGGAATGTCGTCAACACTAAGTCTTTGTCACCAATCCCATATAATCCCTCGTTGTCATGTCTGAAGTCCAAAATGTCGAGTCTGGATCCGATGTCACCAAGCTCTGTCTCTCTTCTCTCGTAGTCTGCAGATGCAGTGAAGTCAGATGATGAGAGGGGGAGAAGGAGATGGTGGACTGAGAAGAGGAAGAAGAAGAACTCTCTCTCACTGTTACGAGCCAGATACTGACCTGTGATGTTGGCGCTGTGCTGCAGGTACCTCAAAGACGAAGCTGGAGCAACGGCGCTGCAGGTAAGTACCTCTGGCCTCCGCCCAATCTTTCTCTCTCTTGCTAGTGCTATCCTAGCTATGGCGCCCAGCGCTGGAGACTACAGCTACCTACTGCGCCCAGCGCTGAAGACTACAAGCTAACGCTACTACTACTCTGCAGCGCTCCCTCCAGAGTGCTGCTCCCGAATCCTGAAGACTACTGCCTCCTGAATCTATCGTGAAGTGCCTGGGGGGGTACCTATATACTTCCACGGCCTGCCTTCTAAGGGCCAGCCAGGCCGAGGAGGCTGCTCTTGCCAATCCACGGCCTGCCTCCTGACTGCCTAAAGGGCCAGCCAGGCCGAGGAGGCTGCTCTTGC